ACCAAGCACAGCTTCTTGTTCATAATAGGTGTTTGATAAATCCCTGCTGAATGAATAAATTAATGTGGTAGCTGAATTAATAGATCTTTCTGTAAGAATGCATCTATTCTATCACTTTTATAACAAGTATCATCTTCAGATCAGATCGTAAGTTTCAATGGTCATATGTCTTACAGAAAGCACAAACTATTGTTTCTCTTATTCTCGTTATCTTCAAAAAGCTTTAGAGGAAAACAAAAGAAAATAGATTCTGTTTTTATAAAATAATGGAATTCCAAAATGGAATTGGTATTTGCTGAACAAAGAGAGCCAAAGCCCAGAGGTGAGCAAGCTCTAGAGAGGGCCTGGTTATTACAGGCACAGATCTCACCCACAGGTTACTTTTCAATTAACTCAGCTTTAAACTGGATCTACTCACGTTCTCTATATTCTATTTCTGCTTCCTTACGCAGTTTTTTCTCTCTGGCAAGAGCTTCAGGGCTTCCCCAAACCTCCAAAGATCTGTGCATACACACATGGTTACCACAATGAACAATTTTAGTGACTCTACTGTAATCACATTTAAATCTAAATGAACTATAACTATAGGAGAACCTTCAACAAAGCATAAGGTCCTTTCAGGAAAATATAAAGAACTTAAGGAACTTTTCTGAATTAAATCTAAACAATAAAAGTCAATGGCAAATTTTCTTATAAATTATGACATATATTTAGTTAACTAGTATATACTAGTAATCTCCCAGATAAACTAATTTGCAAAAACAAAAATAATTTTTAAAATACATCATTTAAAAAATTCTGAATCTGTCTGAAATGTGTTTTTATTAATCCCAAATTTGGTTCGCACTTTAATTCTAAAAGAACTATGTTCTTACTTTGCTTCCACATCCGATCTCAAGTATACAGTAAAGGACTCAGTATCTTCATGGGGGCTTCGCCGTCTAATTTTTCGAAGTTGTTCTAGATCACTGGAGAAAGAAACGTGTTGAATTTATTCAGACAAGGTGCACACAGTTTATGTACTTAAAAGGATTATTAAGGGCAGGTAAATGCAACTACATTGATTCTCATCTTAGAAGAATACAGATCTGTATAGCCTTTAAGATCGGTTTAAAGACGGCATTTTATATACAAAAACTTCTGCAGACAGTGGGAAAAAAAGAATTGCTCTTGGTGCTCAATATAGACATTCTAACATAACATGTGGAGCTCCGATTCCCTCCTCAG